ATTCGTATTTCTCCCAATGAATCTGTACCAAAATTTTGTTGAGGTTCAAATGCTCCCCCCATCGTAAACGTCCATTTCACTCTCATGGACCCAACTTTAAGTGGCAGAAATTTTACGAAAAAGTCTTTCGAAAATGGTGTATGGTAGAACTCTGAGACCTCAAATAAAAAAAAAAAAAATTGATTGGCATAGGAAAGAAAATGTCAAAATTTTACATAAAATTATTTAAATATTTTTAATCAATTAATATGTAAAAAAATTTGTTAAAAATATTTAAATAATTTTACAAAAAATTTTGATATTTTAGGTGTCAATATGTTTTAATTTTACTTTTCTCAATTTGATTTATTTATTGTCAAGTAACTTACTCCGTGTTGTATGTTGATTTTTATCTTTTATCATTTTAAAATTTTATAAAATGTTAATTAAAATTAATAAAAATATATTAAAATTAACAAATTTATATTTTTAAATAAGATGATATGTAAAGTATTGTGAAATGAAGTTTTAAATTAAAAGTTTTCATCTTTAATTTTCACCATTCATACCAAATAATGAATTTAAAATTTTTAAAATTTTAGTTGGTGAAGCAGTGATAGGAATTCAATGGTAATCATCTCTTTTATTAAATTTGTGAATGAGTTTAGGGTTTACCATTTAAAAAAATATTTATATTTTATTCTATAAAAATTAGGAATTGAATCCTAGGCACAATCAAAGCACAAATTCTATCACCAACAACATCACTGATGACGTAAAAAGGTTTACATTTCTAAGTCATTCAATTCAACATTAAATTTTTATTTTATTTTATTGTTGCATTATTCAGGTGACGCTAGAAGCTAGAAAATTGAGTGAGTGGGGCAAAATTTTTTGTTGATAACTTTTGTAATGAGTATTTTTTTTTTATACTAACACTAATTAGTTTTTTTTAGAAGAATTTTTAGTTTGATTGTCTTGTTATTGAAACTTTCTTTAAAATCTTAAAAAAATTAAGAAATGAATATATTTTCTTCATTTCATATTTGTAGTAATTTTTTATTTAATAAATAATTTTATTAAGATAAGAAACAATACCCCATTATGATAATGTTTAAATGATAGACCAACTAAGTCAAATAACTTTGAAATCTTACTCTTTACCTCCCAAAATTTTTTTTTTTTTTTTTTTTGATTTGTCTATTAAAAATTATCTTTTTCCATCCCAGAGAACTAAACAATATGAATGAGAGAATATACAATTCAGTACTTAAAAACTGAAATTATTGACTAAATAAAGTCTCAAACTTTTTTGGTCAACAAAAGTTTTAATTAATCAAGTTGCTTTTAAAATAAATAAAAAAAATTAAAAAAATAAAATTCTAAAACAATTCAAAAACCTAAAGGAAGAAAATCTTTGAGCTTGAGTATAATTAAGAGTCTTGATTTCTAATTTATTCAATATAAAAAATTCGTTTATTTAGATTATAATAAAAATATTATAAATTATATTAACAATAAATTGCTAAGTATGGAAAATTATAAAATTTATAGAAAGTTAAATAAGAAAAATGTAAAGTTTTACATAATAAATATAATATTTAAAAATTTTAAGATGTAAAAAAATAATTTAGTACTAAATTTATAAATTTTCAAAAGTTGAGGGGGACGGCCACCCCCCTCCCTCCGCTCGCCATTATTCCATTACATAGCAGAGTTCTGTTTTTTCCCAATAGGAACCGAAAAAATTTATTAAGGTTGATTTCTGTCTGCAGCATGTTGTTGGTTCCTAGCTAAAAACAAAAGAAATAAAACTAGGGATTTAACACATAGAAGGACATTGCTTTAAATTTTTTTTTTAATTAAGGGTGTCATTTTTTTATTGAACTAATTAAAATTATTATCTTTAAAAAATTTCTAAATAAGGATATCACATTTTTAATTTTACTATTTATGGATTAATTGAATGTCAATGTTGGCTTGACAAACGGATTCCATCTATGAGGCCCATTAAATTGCTGATGTGTAAAAAATTTGATAGGTGACTGCCCACTTGGAGCTGATTTGGACGATAAAGATTTTTGGCAAAATTCTTAATGAATAGTATCGACACCAATACATGTGGTGTCGCCACCAAACCTGTGTCGGGAATTATTTGTGACTCCTAAGAAAAATTAATTAAAATTAAGGTAAAATAAATTAGTAAACAGATCCTAAAAAGATTAAAGTAGTGTACAAAATCCTTCTAAAATAGTTTCTTGACAGTTAAAATAATAATATTTTTATACCAACTTAATAATAATAATATTATTAATTTAAATATAATAAGTATTTAACGTTTGTAATTCATCTCAAAATCTTTTTACTTTTTGTTTACTGTTATACTTTACCATAAACTTAAATCACAATTTTTAATAAGAGTTTTTGTCCATTATTAGAGGCACAATTTTTATTCATGGTTTATAATGTGTTAGTCACAAATCAAATGTCTATCTCTTTCTAGAATATTTGGTTATGCATTATAATATATTTTTTCTCAAATTAACACAAAACCTCAAAGTGGTAGGCATAAATTTTGAAAAAGCTTTTATATTTAGTAATTTATAGGTGCAGGTAGGAATTTTGTTTACTAATATTTGTGTGGTGGGGGACATGCCATGTGTGGTTAGTGTTGGGTTAAAGTGCAAAAACAATGGGAAAAATGTGAGTTTTTTTTTTTATTGATATTATTATAATATTTAAAAGCATGTAAATGTGTAATATCATATTCAAGTAATTTTGTATTTTTTGTCATGCAAGGATTTTGGAAAGTCTAAACAAAAGAAACAAAAAAAGAATAATTATAATATTTAAGGTGAATCATCCAACTCTTTATATGGACAATTTTCTTCACAGGCAATAGAATGTTTTACACAAGAAAGTCAAAATTTTGAAACATAGGCAAGGCATGATGACTTCTTAAAATTTTTATTTTTACTAATAGAACTATTAAAAATTCAGTATGATACATTGAATATTTTTTTATTTAAAATATTTTTATATAATATATCCAAATAATAAATTAATTTTAATAAATCTATATAATGTATCTTATTGTATTTAACTAATCTATATATTCATTACCATGTTTATGATTTTTGTTTAATTATATATTTTTTTGTTAAAATGAATAAAAGGAAAAGGATCCTCTGACAATGTTGACACTTATGCTTGTTGTCCAAATCAGCTCCAAGTCAGAGCAGCCACGTGTTAATTTTTGAACACATCAACAATTTAGTGGATCCCACAAACGGAATCCGTTTATCAAGTTAGTATTGATATCCAATTAATCTTTAAATAGTAATATTAAAAATGTAATATTTTTACTTAAATTTTTTTAAAGATGATAACCTTAATTAGTACAATAAAAAAATAAAATCTTTAATTAAAAAAATTTTAAAAAATAATGTTCTTATCTGTGTAAAATCTCAATAAAACTAAGTCTAAACAACCATCGCAATAGGGTAAAACCCTACTTTTAGCCTCTCATCTTGTTAAGTTTGAAGGTTTTAATCTCTCACCTTATATTATAATATTTTTAACTCATCGTCTTATTAGATTTGTAGGTTTTAACCATTCACATTATACTAAGACATTTTTAGCCTATCACCTATTAAAATTGAAGAAAATAGCCTTCACTTTGTAATATTTTGTTAATTCTGTTAGCTGACTGTTAGTTAACTATTAGCTGTTAAAAATCCTTTTTTAACTAATTGAGTTAACAGAACTAATTTTGAAATATTTCGTTAATTCTATTAATTGGCTATTAGTTGACTGTTAGTTGATAAAAATGTACTTTCAGCTAACAAAATTAATAATTAGTCTAAACCAAGAGTTGTTTTCTTTAATTTTAATAAATAAGAGATTAAAACTTACAAATTTAATAAGATAAAAGATTAAAAATGTTATAATAAAAGGTGAGAAGCTAAAGCTTCAAATTTGGTAAGATGAGCGGCTCAAAGTGAGTTTTTTCCTTGCAATAGTTGTGTTTCTGGCGTTTATGTCGGAGTCAGAGTATGTATTTCCAAAAAAATAAAAAATAAAAGTTGAATCCTGAATTCTTCGATTCAAAACAAACACTATCAACAAATTTATTTAATTTCAACGATTCTCTCGCTCCAACCGCGTATTGGTTATTATGAATAGGGACATTCTTCTTAGAATTTATTTTCCATTTCCATATATTAATCTTCTTATTTTCAGTTCTTCACATTCACAACAATTTTCTCGGCAACCAAACAGGGCTCACAATTGTAGGAACCCAGAACTTCTATTTTCTCGGGCAGGAAAATTACGTTGACAACAGTTTATTAATTTTCGGGTTCACTGAATCTGGATGGAATTCCAGCTCTTCTTTCCCCTACCGGTTTCTTTCTTCCATGAATATAATATTTGATCACCGGCGCAACCACCAGCACCATCGAGATTGCACAGCAGGCGAAAAGGTAACTAATTTTTAGGTACTAACAGTTTTTTTTTCCCCCGCATAAACACTTTTTACTATTTTGTTTGCTTTCGTTGATGCTACATATGTTGGAAAATGGAAGAAGAAGATCCTTCCACTTGGGTGGGACTCAAATCTCGTCTTCCGCTATCAATGGCTTCCATGCGAAGCGTAACAAAGGAGGAGACTTCGACTTTCAAACCATTCTTTTTCTTCTCTTTTTAACCTACCCTTTATTCTTCTTCATAAGCAAATGCAATTTGTAAATATGCTCATGGAATTTCAATCTCTATGTGTATGTTAGTAATTTTTTTAAAATTAAATTAATTGACTAATCATGTTAATTAATTTATTGATTAATTATTATGATATTGTTGCTAGTTATTGGTATGGTCAAAAGTTGGCTTTTGGGTATTTAAAAATGAGAGCTTTAGCATCTAGACTCTCTCTGTTCCTTTCAGTTAATCCTTTTCTGGGTATTTCAGCATTTGAGTTTCTGACCACATTTTTTAAAGTTAAAATTCTTGGAAATAGTACTTGTTGTGTTGTGAGATGTGATAGTAACCTCCGGTTATAGATTCTGATTTCCTACATCACGATCTTAATGTTCTTTAATTGATTTAAGGCTTGAATGATAAAGCGAAAATGAAACGCTTACTTTAGTTAGAAAGTATAGATCAGACTTCACTTGATTTGTACCGAACCTGGAAAATTCTGCTTTTAACGACTGGTTCTCATTTCTCATAGACTGGAGGTATAATTTTTTTTCACCATTTACTTTTTCCAACTTTTGTTGTCATAAACTCGTAAAAAATCTCAAGTTCAAATCTCAATTTCGAATCTTTTCATCCTTGATTGCGTAACCGGTTCAAACTGAAGAAGGAACAAGAACAAAAGAGAATGCCACTTGGAAATACACAAAATTGTGGTTATATCCAAAGTCAACAGCATCTAAGACTGCATATTATATACCCTATTATAAGCACAATAATTAGAGAGGAGATGATTGTTTTTTAACATCAATTGCTACGAATAGTCTCTCTGTCTGCTGGTTATGGACTAGAAAATTTTACTTTTACTTTGCTGCCTGTCATGTATTTGACTTGTTAAAAATTCAGATTCATGCATAATTGTTGTTTCAGATCTTTCTTTAGACTGTGAAGTCTGACCTGAAATCCTCTTACAACTTATATAAGCAAGGTCTTTCCAAGGTTTCCTCCAAGTTCATGTTCTTTCAAGTTAAAGAAGGCTTTGTATTGTAACTTCTCAGTGATTGCCTGCAAACCTCACCTGCCTTCTATCGTTTGGTTAGCTTCAGTTTCTTTGTCTCTTTTACCCTATCAAAATTCTATTTTACTCCCCAGTTTAACGACCTTTTTATCACGACAAAGCTCAAGAATTAGTAGATTTTGAGCTAAATTTTGGATGTAGTAAAAAATAAGTAAAAAGTAAAGGCATGGTAGTTAAATAATATTTCTTGTGGTTTTGCATGGATTTCAAGCTTCTGTTTCATTACTTGGGGCTCATACAGCAAATGAATTAGCATTTAGCAGTGCTTTCTTTCTGATACAGGTTTAATTTTCCTGCACTTCAGAATAGTTGATCTTACATGGGTTCGCGGGCTGATGATGATGAGGTTGAAACAAAGGAGCTGGACATAAGAAGCATGTCATCCTCTAGCCGACAGACACATAATATGCAGTATGTCCACAAGGTAAGAGTTCCTCCCAAGCAGAACCTCTTCAAGGAATTTGCAACCACTGTCAAAGAAACATTCTTTGCAGATGATCCTCTACGCCCCTTCAAGGATCAACCAAAGTCCCGGAAGTTCATCTTAGGCATCCAGGCCATCTTTCCCATTCTTGAATGGGGAAGAAGTTACAACCTTACCAAGTTCAAAGGTGATATCATCGCTGGACTGACCATTGCAAGTCTCTGCATTCCTCAGGTATTTTTGCTAGTCCTGATCCTGCTTTTAAGATTTTCAAATTTCATATGGGCATACAAGCGGAACCTAATCCTCCAATCAGTTTTCACATTTCATTCAGAACTAACGATTTACATCCCTGGAAAAACAGGATATTGGTTATGCAAAGCTAGCACATTTGGATCCACAATATGGACTTTGTAAGTTTCCACATTATATATCAACACCTTAACTGCCTAATCACCCTTTTTCTGGGATTTATTTTGACTTTTGACTTTGAGCTACTTTTATTATAAGAAATCATTGAACCTTTGCAGACTCCAGCTTTGTTCCTCCATTGATTTATGCCTTTATGGGTAGTTCAAGAGATATAGCCATAGGACCGGTTGCTGTCGTATCACTCTTACTAGGAACTCTGCTTCAAAATGAGATTGATCCCACAAAAAATGCACCTGAATATCGGCGCCTTGCATTTACCGCTACATTTTTTGCTGGGATCACCCAAGCAACCCTGGGAATTCTAAGGTAATTGAGTACTTTATTCTTAGAAGAAAATTGCTAATAAAGATTGATATTTTCCCTTTTAGCTTTGTATTGCTCATATTTTCTTTTGTGGATCATCTGAAGGCCCAGAGTTCACTCTTCTAATATAGTTCTTCTCCTCTAAAACAAGGTTGGGTTTCTTGATTGACTTTCTGTCCCATGCTGCCGTGGTTGGTTTCATGGGTGGAGCTGCCATTACAATCGGCCTCCAACAACTTAAGGGTTTTCTTGGAATCAACAAATTTACTACGAAAACAGATATCATTTCTGTAATGCGCTCTGTATGGAGCACAGTCCATCATGGAGTAAGTCTCTCTCTCTAATTGTTGTTTTACCCCAAAACATCAAGAGTTCCCAAGCAGCACAAGCGTTAACATTTACATCCAATAACTAAATTTCATTTAACACTCCTTTGCAGTGGAACTGGCAAACTATAGTGCTTGGGGTCAGCTTTCTATGTTTCCTTCTGTTTGCTAAGTACATTGTAAGAATTTCTAATGCTCATTCATTTTCATCTGAACTGTGTTGTATGCTTGTGAATAGGTTTTGGACTTTGTCTTACATGTTCTCAATAACAGGGAAAGAAGAACAGGAAATTATTCTGGGTGTCTGCAATTGCCCCTTTGATATCTGTCATTCTGTCCACCTTTTTTGTGTATATAACTCGTGCAGACAAGGAAGGAGTTCGGATTGTAAGCTCTCTTATCTTTATCTTTCTTGGTGTCCCTTATGACAAGACTAGCATGCCCAATTATAGTCTCAGCAATATAGAAATTATTATAACTAATTGGTGCTAGTCATAGCAGCAGTGGCAATTAACAGCTCTATTTCTATCAATGTGTGCAGGTGAAACATATAGAGAGAGGAATTAATCCACCGTCAGTAGATGAAATCTTCTTCACTGGTCCATATGTTCTAAAAGGTTTTAAGATTGGCGTAATCGCTGGTATGATAGGATTGACAGTAAGCAAACTTGTCAACATTACTTTCTCTTATCATTGGTTACTATATCCAAGTTTACAATCTTCACATTTCTTTTTTTATTATTTGTTGCATGTATCAGGAAGCTGCAGCGATTGGAAGGATATTTGCTTCTCTGAAGGACTATCAATTGGATGGCAACAAAGAAATGGTGGCACTAGGAGCAATGAATGTTGTTGGTTCAATGACTTCCTGTTATGTTGCCTCAGGTGATTTAGAATACATGTTAATTTGTATTACGCTACCTATTTCCAATAACAGCTCATGCTAATGACATAACAAAAGCCTACATGATACTTGCAATATATCTAGAGCTTCACATACTAATGACAGGTTGGAAATAATAACTAATAGTTTATAATTGATGTTGTTTGATGTTTGCTTTACAGGTTCATTTTCTCGATCTGCGGTAAATTACATGGCTGGTTGTCAAACGGCAATTTCTAATGTTATCATGTCTTGTGTTGTATTTCTAACCTTGGAATTCATCACACCTCTTTTTAAGTACACACCAAATGTTATTCCCGCTGCCATTATTATATCAGCTGTTGTTGGCCTATTTGACGTTCAGGCTGCAATTTTGATATGGAAGATTGATAAGTTTGATTTTGTTGCTTGTATGGGAGCCTTCTTTGGAGTAGTTTTTGCATCTGTTGAGAAAGGCCTCTTAATCGCAGTAAGAGCCTAGATGTTCAACATCTAAAATCCCCATTCTCAATCATTTCTGACTATCATGGTGGATTTAAATCTTTTGTGGCTCATCTTTTTGGCAGGTCTCAATATCCTTTGCTAAGATCCTCTTGCAAGTTACTCGACCTAGAACTGCGGTCCTCGGAAAGATACCCAGGACAAACGTGTACAGAAATATTCTACAGTATCCCGAAGCAGTTAGCGTTCCAGGTGTTCTAATTGTGAGAGTGGATTCTGCAATTTATTTCTCCAACTCTAACTATGTTAAGGAGAGGTATAGATCTTTCTTGACATTTCTTTATACTTAAGCCACGCTGTTCTTTTGAAATGAAGAAATCCTGATCATCCTAAACTGAACAGAAATCAAACAGCCAAGTTACATCTAGAAGTAACATCTTTACAATATCTTTGCAGGATATTAAGATGGTTAACAGATGAGGAAGAAAAAGTAAAAGCAGCCTGTCTACCAAGGATCCAGTTTTTGATTGTTGAGATGTCGCGTAAGTTCCATACTACCCTCTACTGTTGACTCGAAACCTACTTTTTCTTTTTGCAAATTTGAACCCCTTATGCAATCTAACTCGTAAATGTTTTGTTTTCGTCGCAGCTGTGACTGACATAGACACCAGTGGCATCCATGCCTTTGAAGAATTACACAGGAGTCTTGAAAAGAAAGGTGTTCAGGTAAGCCTATGATCCATACCAAAGTGCTGACAAAAAGACAATATTATGATATTGAGCATACTTTGGAAACCACAAATGAGCACAGGCTAAAGACTAAACTACATACCATACATTTGAATTTATTCAAACCTCAAAGGCCTTACCATGAGGTTCCCTTGCTGTTGCACAGCTTATTCTGGCAAATCCAGGGCCAGTGGTGATAGACAAGCTGGATCTGTCAAATTTTGCAAATTCCATTGGGGAGGACAAGATCTTCTTGACTGTTGCAGAGGCGGTCTCATCGTGTTATCCAAAACCGGTAGATGAAGTATGAGAAATGAGCAATGTGTTGTAATGGGGGGGAGGGTTTGCTTAATGGTTTTAAGTGCAGCGTTAATCATAAAGGTGGACCAGGTGGTC